TCCCGTTTTCGAGTATGCAAGTGTACATGCCATCACGATTTTCGTGTTACCATCTCACACAAGTCACTTCACTCAGCCTCTTGATGATGCTGTCTTCTCAGCTCTCAAACGCAACTACGAAAGCAGGTTGAGGAATTCCCGCTCAGGTTCCACCAAGCTCAGCCTAGCAAGCATGATCTCGCTGGTTTGGTAACCAAGGCTTGGAAGGGTGTGGTGACTACGAAAAACTGCCTGGCTGCATTTCGACGGACAGGAGTCTTTCCGTTGTCTTTGGAGACAATGCTGCAGCGCGTTGTGGGGAGAGCACCTGTAGTGTCTGAGCTTCCGAATGTGAGCTACATTCGCAGTCTGCCTGACTTAACACCAAGGGACCAGCGCAAACTCAAACGCAGTGGGATAGATCAAGACGAGCTGACAGCAGCATTCCTAGGAATACAGATGATCTCAACAATTGCGCCCCCTCCTCAGCCTCCAAAGCGAACGCGAACCTTCATGGACGGTGGTGTACTTATGACGCGTCCGAAAATGATGGCTGCGGTTCTTGAAGCCCAGCGTCGCCAAAAGGTTGAGGAGCGTGTAATCAAGGCTCGAGAGGGACAGGAGAAGCGAGAAATACAAGAGCAGGCGGCTATCCTCAAGCAATTCGAGAAAGAGAGAAGGCAACAGGAGAAAAACAAGAAGAACAAGGGTAAGATCGCAACTTCAACCCGGCCAAGACCGCGTAAAGGTATCACTCAACAAGCCACCGAATTGGGAGACTCGCAAGGAGTTGCACCATCAAACTTTGGTCAGACCTTCGACATGTATGTTGTGAAGAGTCCGGTGTCGAGGTCCTCCAGCGGTCACGCGCTTCTAGAATCTCATTTTAGCGGGCATTCTGGTCGCTGAATCGGCCTTCATGCACGTGATTTGCATTTAGAGTTTGTATACTAACACATGTTAGAAACATGCGTTTCGTTTTGTGTCCGCTTTTCCGATTCTCGTCGAAGTGGAAAAACAGCCTCATCTTCGAGAAACGTTTTGCGTTAGAAGGAAGCTTGACCTTTTTAAACAAAAGCCATAGCCAGATAGCCATCGATCTCACCTTTCAATTGAGCCATCAATACTGTCAATCCTCTACTTAGTTTTTACATTATGATCGTATTCATGTGTTAACTCTTAGGTGTTCCGTTACGTGTCCCTTGGTGATACATCATATCCTCCCTTCCCAATGCAGTGACTTCCGAACGACCGTCACTGCCTTGTGATGTTATGCTATACGAGACTTATAACAAAGGGACACTACATAACTCATAAATCCATCCTCGGTAA